GATTTTAGATTCTATTCTGGATTTAACAGGAAGCCAATGAAGAGAAGCAGACGAGTTTTTTGCAGCTAACTGTGGGTTTATGTTTGCAGTAACGTGCTCCGTGATGCAGAAAACCGGCGCCGGCCTCCACACCGCCAACTCCTGCTACTGGGACACCAGCATGGACGGTGAGCTCCTCCCCCGCTTCACAGCGTTTCATCCTTCAGGCTCTCTGAAGCTGCAGATTCATCACTTTTAGGCCTTTAAAAACTGAAAATGTTTATTGTAAATTTTAGCATAAAAGGGAAAAAAATGTGACTTCCATTCTTTTTCATCCATTAACATGATCATTATAGATTTTGTGTCAACCCATCACAAAACTACCAATATTTACACATAAATATTAATTAAAAACTATTAAGAGACTCGAAATGCAAAAAACAAATAAGATTCTGAGTCCGAAATAAAAATGAATTATAAGATATTAAAGATTTGAAGTTGGACTGATTTGCAGTGAATTGATCACATGACCTGGAAGCTAGTGAGCAAAAATTCTAATATTTTCATTTAAAAATGCCTAAAAAATGATTTGAGATTTAAAATGGAAAGATTAAAAACCGTAAGTTTCGAAGCCAATAGAGTTCTATTAAAATAGTTTAATAAAATAAAAAGGATTCTGCTTCAGGTTGTCTCTGTTCGCTCTGCAGGAAGCTGCACCGTGAGGTGGGAGAACCGGACCATGTACTGTGTGGTCAGCGTCTTCGCCGTCTCCATCGCTTAGAGGTCGAGGGGCTGCAACGCGGCGATCTGAGCAGCAGGGGGAGCCAGACGACAAGCTTCTGTATCTAAAGCTGCAGCTGTATCATGTAGGAAGGATGTTTTTATATAAAAGCTGCTGCTAAATAAACATAAATTCTGGACCAAATGGGAGGTTTTGTTTTTTTTATGCAGAATCATTTTTATGATTTTGGTTTAATGACAGTCCTAAACGTTTCCATGGCAACGGTTTTTATAAAACATAGACGTGAATTCCTGAAGGCCCGTCCGTTATCTGTCTCTGCAGAAAATCTGATTTATTTATGTTGACATTAAACTGAATTAATTCCTCAAGAAGAAGAAAAATCCTGCTCTGGTTGGTGGAATCAGATCAAAGACTTTAGTTCGTAAACATCCAGCGGGTTTCCAAACTACGACGGACTGTTAGGGCCGGGAGAGAGATTATTTTTATTCTTTATTTTCAGGATAAAGTTGAATAATAACGAGAATGAAGTCATCACCTGTTTCAGAGGGGAAGCTTTGATCTCCGACCAGCTTTGACATCCTGCCCAGTTTGATAAAACATTTCCTGATTAGTCAAACCGATGCTAAAGTAGAACTTCCCATGTTGCTCCACATTCCTCATTTTAGGGAAGAAAGTGCTTCTTGTATGAGTCGTCATTGCTACGGTTTTGGTTCCGTTAAGTTTTCAGTTTCACTTTGATGCCTGTTTTTCTTTGTTTTCTAGTTTTATTGGTCTGATTCCTATTTTTTGGTGTTTTCTGGATGTTTTTTTTAGGATTCGTTCACATTGAGGGATTGATGCTCTACTCCGATTTTTTTGTGGAATCCGTTTTTTTTTGCGTTCTGGTTGACATTTCCAAATTTATGTGACTTGTATGTGATCTCCTGTGTGAACTGCGTTAATCTAGCGATCTTTCCCAACCTTAAGCACACAATCTTTTCAAGGTGGTTAAACATGAATTCTGCTCTCTGCATCATCGTCCGCCATGTTTGTTGTTTTTCTTGCCGCTTCTGCGTAGCAAGACGCAGAATAATGAGCTTTGTCGGGTATTAATTGCGACCTTGCCGTTCAGACATAGGTCGCATTTAAAAATATCAGATTCGTATCGGATTCAGGACCACATCGCCAAGTAGCCTGGGTCGCATTGGAAAAATCGTATCTTTGTTGTTCAGACAGCCATGAAAAGATCGTATACAGGTCGCATATGGGCCAAAAAATCGGATTTGGGTGACTTCAGGCTGCAGTGTGAACGTTGCCTTTGCTGCCCTCTTGTGTCCATTTCTCTAGCTCCCTTCTAGACTCCTCTGTTCACAGCTGCTCCCAATCAGCTCATCAGTCCCGTCTTTGTTCAGTCTCCCATATATACTCTCCCTGTGCGGTTCCTCACTGCTGGTTCCTCGTCTTTTCCTGGTTCTACAGGTGAGTTTTTTCCCATTAAGTTGTCTGCTTTTTGGTTCCATGTATTTTGTTCTTTAATTTTTGGATTTTTGTCTCAGTTATTCAGTTAAATCCCCTCTGCCTCCTCGTCTGCATTTGGGTTCTCAGAACTTCAACCAAACCCTGATGGTCATAAAATGCAACTGTATTCTCGGAATTTTACGACTTTGTTCTCGTAGTTTTACAACTTTACCTTCGAAATAAAAAAAAAAGAAACACATCTAGCCTGGCCCGATACTTTTGTACCGAACCTTCGTCCTGGGGAACAAATTCTGGACACGTGTCGCCTTGATGTGTCAGATTATTTTTGAAGGGTTTAATTTTTACTGTGCGTTTTGTAGGAGTTGTCATAAATGCGACTTTATTCTCGCATTTATTATTTTTTTGTTTTTATGCACTAGTGGCTCTTTTTTTTGG